AATGACCGCTACACGAAAACCTATATTAAGAAAAGTAACGGATCCAAGTCAAAATGACATTTATGATAAAATCGATTTATTTGTGTAAAAGGAAGCCTGCTTGGGATGAAGGTAACAATAAAATACTCCTATTTTCTTTGAAGATTAGGGCAAAAGGTACAAAGTGATGAAGTTGACTCAGAATAATGAAACCTATCAATTTATCTCAATACGATCGTTCTATTTTCCCGTGTCGTAAACATAAGATTTGCTTGTAAAAAATAAGCAATCCAGGTTAGTTGCGATTATATCATAACGAACATTCTTACCATTTGTGACGATAAAGTAGAATCTTACCACATATGGCTACATGAATAATTTTGGTGTGATTTTATGCCGTTTAATGTAATTGGAAATAATATAACAGGCAATTAATGCGTGAACACTGAAATCCAGCTTATTTCAATGTTCAAATAGAACTCGTGTTTAAGTGGGAAGTACTCCCGTGTCTAGAGGCGATTTCCTTAACATCTTTTCACCTTTACCGGCGGAAGAGAACCGTGAGCTCCATTATCGGAGCATCAAGGCCAGCGGTGTTGGCAGTTGAAAGGCACTTAATGGCCAAATAGTGCTGTAGTGCCAAAATGGGCCAAACGCAAGACACGCCAAAGCTGTGCCCTTGGTAGAGGTCATACAAAACTTGCACCTTACTCGTTCGACCTTCGCCCTTGTCAGTCAACTGTGCCACGATCCTTGACATAACCCTGTCATTGGAAAAAAATTGGCATAGTCTCGACCTGACGGCAGCTCACGCTTTCATCAGCCACACATGGGCGTTCCGATGTGGTGAAAACAAACCTTTGATTGTAACCTACGATCAGACCTCTGCGGTTCCATCTTACACATACCTGACAGGCCACCGACATAAATAACTTATGGCTTAAGTTAATTTAGTGCCAATCGATCATCATAAATGGTTGATTTACAGACGTTCATGCACGAATGGTATGATTTAAAGGCATAAGTTCTAATTAATGATTTAAAGTATTATTTGGCGTTTTATCGACTTGGCAATGGCCCCCATGGGTCCGTTCACAAGTCTACGTTGAAGGGCAGTTGCGTGCTGACTTAACCATATATAAGTGACACCATGACCCGTATTTCGGACCATGAGGTGCTTCTTATTTGCAAAGGTGCCGAAATGTCCGAAATATCAATGAAACGCCATAAGGGTCAAGGCCCGGTCACATGATAAAAACGAAATGTAGCCTATGATCTTAAAGGCCACCAGGGAAAAGGCAGGCATATATCAAAGTGTCAAAGTACGTGAACAAAATTTCTATGATTTTTTCTATTGTCTGTTGCATTAGATTTAAAGCGCAAAGTTTTTAGATATGAGTCTGTCATATGGGATTTCGTCAAAAGCTTTTGTGAAATTAAGTATTACTAAAATCTACCTACGCTTTACTGTTCAACGCGACAGCTATGTCAAGAACTGGTAGTTCATTCGCGACTTTTAGGTGGTTTTTGATAAACGAATCCATCTACTGAAGTGTTTATGGTTAAAACAACGTTCCATTAAGGTGCTGTGAATAATGTCAAATACATGCTGTCCGGTGTATCCCGGATCTGTCCTGTACCTACTTGAATTTCTGCTCGATGAATAGCATCTTGTAGTAGACCTGCACGAAGAACATAACACGAGACTCATTTTCTGTCGTTTCTGGAACATATCCAGGCTGCCTGTCGCAGGAAGGCATCGGCTTCACCCTACCCAAAGGAGTGCAGACGACCCTGGGCGACCCCGTGACTCTAGCGGCATCCTACTCCACAAACTACGCCGTCATCTCCGTGACGTGGTACAAGGTCCACGCGAGTGAGACGTCATCAGATAAAAGAACTACCGTATTCTCCTATGTCCCTTTGGCAAATATCAAGAAAGCCTATGGAGACTACATAGACAGGGCCCAACTGGTCGGGATGGCTTCTCTGCGGATAGACCCAACACGACTGGAGGATGAGGGGACTTATTCACTCTCCATCATGACGGACCAACTTGGAAATGAAGAAAAGTTCATCCGTTTAGATTTGTTTGGTAAGTTGTATTCAACAAATAACGAAATAAGATATAAAGCTATCTATTGTTACGATGGTTGAAGATAGAGTAGCAACGTTTACAGTTAACAACAACGTCGTTCCAACTACCGCAACCAGCAGCAGTGAACGTGTTTTCATGAAATATGCCACCGTTACATGCTTACAAATATGTTGAAAGAAATATTGATGACATGTATATGAAGCGATACTACATGTATCTTATGTGTAGACGCAATTTCCGCATTGTGGACCGAGTACGAAGTCTATATATAGACCCGTCTGTTTTATCTACTTTTTCAGTGCCTCCAAAGTTAGAAGTGGGCCCGTCCAACCCATACGTGACCACCCTCGGCACAACAGTCACATTAACGTGTAGGGTAAGGAAGGCAAAACCGAGCATATCGTCTCTTCACTGGGAGAAAGATGGCGGACGGATAGAGACAAGCGGGCTATCCGGGAAGTATTCCGGGGGAAATAGAGACAAGCCATCATTGACTATACGTCACGTAACGAGAGCAGATTCAGGACTATATTCCTGTCTTGTGGAGCACGTGACCCGGCCAGCCCTGGCTAGCATACATCTAGAAGTTCTTTGTAAGTACTTTGTGTGTATTTTGTGCACGTGTGATGCATATTTTGTAGATAAATCAGTATGTTCACCTTCTCAAAAGGAGAACATTTTTGCCCTGTTTCTTCTTCCTCCTCTTCTTCTCCAAATAGTAACTGGTGCTGTAGCAGACACCCTGTAGTGTTATGGTGTTGGGTTACATTTTGTAGAAGGACAGAGCTGGAGGGGCTGCTCACCATGTACTATATTGTGTTTGAGAAGCTAGTTATCTTTCTAGTTAAAAATTTAGTGTTCACGTTCAACCATGTAACCATTTTTTCAGATCCAGCGTCCATCATCAGTATTTCAAACCTGGCTGAGGTGAGCGTGGAGAACCACGTGACGTTTCAGTGCGTCGCTGACGGAAACCCGCCACCAAACATCACGTGGTCCAGGGGAGGGCGACTTCTGCCGTCAAACATCTACTCCCTGTCACGTGACGTGCGCACCAGCTCCCTGGTTCTGAATGACGTCAATGTGAACGACAGTGGGATCTATACCTGCAGTGCAAGCAACGGCGTGGGCAAGATAGGGAGACGGACAACACAATTAGTTGTCTTAGGTATGGCAGAACATCTGCAACTTTTCGTACTTCAGCACACCTAGCCTCTACCAGGCACCGCGGATCGCTGGAAAAAATAGTAGAAATTGGCCAGAGAGGTTACAGTTAGCCGGCCAGAGAGGTTACATTTTATGACCCACGGAAAAATGTACTCTCTGTCGAACCAACTCCCCTAGCATGTTATCCCTCTTTAGTCTACTATTTCCACCCGCCTCCCGAAGCCTGGTAGAGGCTACAGCACACATAAGCCTGTACACTGCTGTCTCTCAAATATCTTAATAATATGACAAAGTTAAATAATTGCAACCCAATGTTATGATCTATTCAAAAGGTTATTATATCAATTAAGTATATAATTAGCTGAGAATAAGATGATATGAACATTTACTAATATCATAATGTTAGATTATTTTTACAATTAGTTTTTAATTACCCGCTACACTGGCTATTGTTGAAAGCTGCTTTGCAAAATCACGCGGTTATTGGAAATTATAAGCCTCCAGCTTGCATGTATGAATCATTATGGGATGAAAATTGCATCCTGTACTCAGTGGACAAAACTAACTACTCATAATCCTTCAACATATAGGGTCTTATCACAAAACGCAAGAGGCTGTAATACCTTAATTCCTTTAGTTGTTTATCTCTACCCCTCTTAGACAGATAATACTCAGCACGTCGTATTCATTTCCGATTTAGATTAATACCTGTAATACCTGAAAAGTTGGTACCTTTTAAGACATACAAATTACAATGGGAAGCATGGCTGTGATAAGAGGCTTTAAAATTCTCAGTGGTTGATATTACCACATTCTATCTCCAAAGCCATCAACGGTGTGGCTATTAGTATTAGTAAAGAATAATCACACGAAACAAAACATGCGATCATGCGTTTAATTTGTGAATACGTTCATAGGTTCTTTGAAGATGGCTTTAGTGTCCATATATAAAAGCCATCCAAGTAAGACACCCAGTTATGATCTATATAACTGTTATCAAAGTGCATTGACTAAAGTCAGAATATCGGGTAATCTGATGAGCGTAACGCTACATCAATCAACAGTCTAAGCATTGTCAATATTCAACATCGATATACAAAGACCACCATTACTTAGTCATACGTTTGTAATCAACTGACAAATTTTCCGTTCTGCAGTTACCACGAGCTTTATATTGAAGTATATTGATCTGAACAAATTCTAATATCTTATATGCCTTGTGAATAAATGTAATAACTGTCAATCCTTTGTGAATATTTGCAGTTCCGGAAAAACGAACTACATCCGCAACCTTCTCCACAGTGGCTACGGTGATCGGGTCGTCGGCGGCCGTCCTTTGGTTGATCATCTGCGTCTCCCTGGTGATGTTCCTCGTTAAGCGCCACCGCAGACAGGGAGAAGAAAGGAAGAAATTCTCCTCACTGTACAACATCGGTCTGGCGGGGACGACGTCGCCCAGTGAAGCAGACGAGAAGAAAACAAACGAGTGTAAAGAAACCCCGGGTAGGTCTACGTTATTGACGGACACCACAAAGACGTGAATCAATAACAGTTTTCACCTTCCTGACGGAGATAAATGTCTTTCCTGCAGTATGTACCTCCCATACAAGCTTTGCACACTATATAATGAACTCTCAGCAACCTTTCCCTTCTCGGTTGGGTTAAGGCGGCCTAGGCTGATATTCATGTTCGAGTTCCGCCGTGTGTCTGCACGATTGCCACAAACATGTTTCGAACCCGAATCATGTTCCACCATGTTCGATATGACGTCATTCGAATAGAACGTGTGTTCGAATTCGGGGTTACCGGCGGTCATTTGTATGTTTCCCCTGTAAACCCGCGTTGTTACGCATTTTATTCACGGAGTATGACTTAAACGGCTTTACGCCCAGCTGAAAACAACATAATTCATCTTTAGAGTAATCCATGTTTACGTATTATCACTTTTTTATCAAAATTGTCCGAGGCTATTTTGCATATAAGTCGAAATTTTTTAACTGTGGCGATTATTTAACAAAAAATGACAGAAAAATAGCCGTTTCTGTCGTTTTTGGCCCAAAAAAACAATGTAACTGTCATTTAAAACAAAATAGCCTCGGACAAAAATAATAAATAGGGGGTTGGCTTTCTACTTGCAAAATATCATGATGAAAGGTGTTGTTACCGCTTGGGCGTAAAGCCATGAAGTAAACAGCTTTTTTTTAACCAAAATGTTGATTTTTAACCCAAAAATTCAGAAGTAGTAAAAACAAAATAACCTTTATTCAATGTGTTTCAAGTACTACTAGAACTGTGTGAAGTTAAGTTGTGATGCGACCAAGCTATCAAAAGTTACAGCCATATGTATGAAATACTAATTATAGTTGGCCATAGGCTGCCTTAACCCAACCGAGTTTAGCACTTCACCTGATTTGACTCCGACAATCGTTAAAACAATTCCAAGTGTAGTCACGTCCTCCATCTGTAAGCCATAGTACCATCAACTGTGATATGATATTAATATAGACTTCCGGATTCGGTTTACTTATTGCGTGTTGGAAGACATTTTTCTCTTCACTTAGGCCTATGTCTTCTTCCTCAGTCTGAACAAAACGTTGCAATCGTGCCGTTATTTTGAAGTCAAGTATACTAGTATTTTTTCCGTGTATGAAACCTATTAACATTACTGTAATTTGATATGGAAGGCGTTAAGTTGATTGAATAACTGCAACTCTAATTGACAATATTTCCCACAGACAAGCCAAACGAAACACAATCGCCTAGTAGAGAAATAGCGACAACAAGAGGAACCAAACGAACTGGTAAGTTGTGTTTAGTTGATTTATTAAAATTTAGTAATTGTACTTTCATATTCATTGATTTGAGCACTTTAAAAGCTGAAAACGCTGGTACCTCTACTGGGTGGGGGAGTCAATGGAATTCTGATGAATGCGCATTTAAATTCCCAGTATTGGTGATTCTCACAGTGCACTTTTTCTTCAAACTCAGCGGAACGTTTATGGTTCAAGTTTCAATGTTCTATGCTGAATCTAATGCCGTATTAAATCACTATTGTTGCCTCTATCAAAAGACAGGAGATGTGCGAAGGTCCTTTACGACTACAAACCACGAGAGGACAATGAGCTGAGGCTTGAAATCGGAGACATTGTTGAGATTCTAGAAGGAGAAGAAGGAACCTGGTGCCTGGGGTACCTCAGAGGCCGGATGGGGCTTTTCCCTTCAAACTATGTGTGCTTCGTCCCTATAAATGAGGGTATGCAAATTTATGATAATGATGATGTAACTTTTAGATCGCAATCAAACGTTTTCTGATACCAATGGTTACCTGAGTCTTGAATTAAAATATATACAGTAACAATTTGACATTTGTTTTACTACAGTATCCCCGACAACGTCACTTTACATCCATTGTATCTCAGAAGACAATGGCAAATCAGTAAAGGACCACCTATAGTTTCGCGTTTGCTAGGAGCGTCTTTTGCAGACTTTCCCACGAGACAAGTGCAGTGATCCACGGGCTTCAACAGACTTCGATCGTTTGGGGCCTGTCATACAAGTACACATGAACGTACCGATGGCAGCATGTTTAAATGATGGCGAAGTTGTGATGTATATTCTGAACGTTTTGCCGTATTCATTTCTACAGATTTTATTTTTGTCAAGGGTCATTTTTCTAGGAGTTTACATGGAAGATATACCAGTGAAAGTTCGATCTCCATACTTCACAAGCAATATATTTAATGAGATTGGCTATATATATATATATATAAGCGACGTCGGAAATGGAAAAGGTTATGATGGTGCCATGTAAACTGGATCTTTACAAATCACCATCCTTCTGTGTGTTAGTCGCCATGAATGATACAAATCTATTCTTTGAAAAACCAAACATAAAAGGTGCCTTGAGCGGTACCTGTAACTACTATAAATTTCATAATATCGCACTTAAAGCTTGCTGTATTTCAACAGTGACAAGATGACAGTCCCTTTATCAATTCCATTTATTTCAACACGAGATTTACACTTACTGAAACATCGTAAAATGGATGTGATGTTACGAATACACAAAATAAACATGGCGTATTTGTAGAATGTATTTGTATTTCATTGTCCATTGAATAGCATCTATTATAGAATCTATATAGGCATCTTGCAGTTCTATAATTTCCCATGTGTAGTGGTCAGTTATTGTGGATCTAATTGCGCATCATACACATACTTAGCAAACATATCGTATTCTACGCACATAACAAATTTTGTATTTTCGGAAGCAATTCTCATGTTAATATTCATGTACGAGTACATACCCTTTCTCAAGGACGCAATGCATATCGCTTTGTTACCCAAAAAAATGCCAAGATCAACGAGTTGATTGTTCCTTATACTTTCTCTGTTATGATGCACATTGTTCGCCATCTATGGAGTCTGCTTTTTAAGTTGTGTACTTGAGGCTTATGTGCCAACTGGGTCGGCAACCGTTGTTTGATATTTACTAGATTTCCGACACTACACTGACCAAAAAGCTCGCGCCAAATGAAGATACCCTTATCGGCTCCTAAATCGTTTTCTCATTTAGAAAGCAATCACACAAAGCCGTGTGAAGACATCGTGCGCATGCTGATCGCAGCGTCATACTCCTAAGTAAATAAATCGATGGGGAGGTTCTGTTCATAATATCTTTAGATTTAAGAAGACTGCAGAATGCCAATAGATGGAAATGCGCTTGAACTTTATACAGGTTATAAATGATCCTTGTGGTAGATATTCGTGTATTAGCTTCCCTGCCCGTGTCAATAGAACGGGAGACTAAATCTCCACGCATCAGATATTCCAATGATTAATGTCACACAAATGCCGAAGGGTCGATTTAACGGGCTCGCAGATGTTAGAAACGTTGGAATAAGGCTACGTGTATGACAAAACGTTATGACTTTGACTGATGTTGCTCTCTGCGTCCAACTTTAGGTTGATGTAAAGTTCTTTGTAAAAGTTTTCAAATTGACTGATCTTCCACGGTATGACCGGAATGATGGAAGGGACCAATATTGCCCAGAGCGACTGAATGTCGGACGTTTCCAAGTCCTGCAATGCCATAACTGGTAAGTTATTGTCGAAAGTAATGTCACACAAATAGGTTTGTTCCCATTACGCCAATGAGAGGGAGAGAGAAAAGAACATTAAGCAGATACTCAATGAATTATAGCTGCACTTTTGATGCAATACATGTACGCGACCGGGGGTGGTGTTGTTGGAATGCTTAATGTAGGAGCCTTCAACACGTATGGCAGATTGTCAAAACCAATACATAACCTGGAGGGCATAGGAGCGAGGCAGAAGACATCATGAGCCCAAGAGAGAAAACAATAAAGAAAGAGACTTCCATCAACCCTGCAATAGCCCCAGAGATAACCCCGTGCGTGCCATACAATGCTGACTTTGAACTTTGATTCCTCCATGCAATACGACTGGAATCACTACCTGCTCACACTGTAGTGATAAATGTGCAGATGGCAAAACGTCTGTCCGCAGGCAGTTTGACTCATAGATGTCAGGACATCAATCTTATAGACGGCATCTGGGGTCAGTAGAGCTGATTTAAACACCCGTAATTCTTCACCAAGTTGCTTTAAATTAGCTTTGGGGTAGACATAACGTGACCAGGAAAACCCTTGGTGTATGTAATCTCCCAGAGGACACGCTCCACCAATCAATATTTAATCACATTACGGAGAAGGTTCAATCGTGGACTCGACTACCCGCCTCTCGTGTCTAGGCCAATGCACTGTACGTGATTTCCTGTGATTGCCTTCCCGGGAAACATTCGACTGAGATTCTAACTTTACCCCAGGGCACGCTGAAAGGAATGCCAACGTTGCAAGCTACATTAAAAACGAAGAAGTATAAACTATACTTATGCTGAGGTCACATTTCCAAACCGGGGCCCGGCCGGGCTGTTTTGGTTAACGAAATAGCAACAATTTATATTAGTATACGCAGATAGTTCCCATTATTGATTCTCTTTTCACATTTTTTTGCTTTGTTGTCTTTTATATCATACTTAAAATTTGTGCGACTAATGGATATCATAATAAAGTATTAAAGAATCAAAGTATCAAAGGACGTTTCTGCCCAGCCAGGCACCAGTTTGGAAATGTGACCTCAGCATTACCGGTATTAAATCCTGGCCTTAACAGTTATTAACGTTGTCGCAAATTCTCTTTCTCTGTCTCTCTCTCTCTCTGTCTCTCTGTCTCTCTCTTTGTATCTGTCACATCTCTCACATAAATGGTCTCTCGTATAAACGTACATGCGTCTATTATCAAATAATAAATTGATGATTATTATATAATGTACTTACGGCACCTCCAAAGTGCTCTAGGTGCAGTTTTCATACTATCCGCATAAATACGTGGTGCTTCACACGTAGCCACATCCCGACGCCTCCTATGCATGTAATTCTATACACGTGTTTATGATAAAGTGATTACAATATCTTGGTTTAATATTTCAACCCTTGACATGTTGGGTAAATCATATATTTCCCTGAGGAAATTTTCCCTTCTGTAGAACATTATGTTCATCGCCCCTTTACCCCAGGAGAATATATAGCGTCTCAGACGACACACTTTCATTGTCATATCCATCTTGATCATTTAGATTTGAAACCCAAAAATTGGATGGAAAACTGTTCCGTTATGAGGAACATAGATCAGAATAGACCTCATCAAACGCTCATATCAAAGTGGTATAATCCTATATATATATTACTCAAAAGTAGTATGTAACAGATTATTAAATCAGAACTTCATGTTTACTACCATCACCGTACACCAGACCAAGCATTTAGTAACTATCTATTTTCAACTTATGGACCGATCCTTTTAATGATGTATTATTGATTTATGATCAACCACTACGAAATGGCAATGGATAAAGAACAATAACACTTCATAGCTAGCTATAGCCTCTGTATTGATAACATGCAAACATAAAGCCTTCAATGGTTCCGATACAATAAATGTGAGTTGATGTAATGAATAATAGAACAAGTATGCTGTTGCAGAAAAATGGTTTCAATAAAATGCGGTTTCACGCATATTCATTTTATTGCTAATAACATGTTGGTAAAATCAAGCTCACTATCAGTGAACTGAATCAAACTATAACTATATCATTTGTAAGGTATCTCACAGTCTACGTGCGATAGTATCTGATACTTGTGTTCGTCACGAATGGTTGCTATTTTTGCACACAGGTGATATCATCAGACCATCGCAAGCTTGAGTGACAGTCTTGGTATCGTTTTGCAATATTTCACATAAATGTGTATCACTATGTACATCAAAGACACGCACAGAGGTATCCTCTGATGACAACACAGGGGACTGTAGTTATCGGAAGGGACGGCATATATTGATTCGTCACTCTTATGGATATTGAGTCTCAAAATATGCTGGAAGGGTGCAACACGTGTTGATGCCATACCACACAGAAAGAAGTTTGGAAAGTCGAACATTATCTGTCTTCTTGTAGACCTGTCACCCAAGAGAAAGACTCCTGATCAGTTAAATACGAGCGCCACCTAAGAAATGCATTTGATTAATTGACGGTAAGGTATCATTATTTGTACGCTGGGGCTCCCATACTCACTCCCTTAGAAATATTTCTAAGGGAGCGATTAAGATAGGCCTGGCATACAAATAGGATGGTTCCCAGGCTATCAACATTAGAATTTGACCGTGAACTTGACCAGTGATGCCTGCAATGAATTCAGCTACAGTACGTTGGAAACACACATGAATTCCAGACAATAACAAACGACTTAACAACGTGATACGCTCCAGGAAGGCCGTACCAAGACCAATTATGTATTACAAGAGGTGGCCAGAAGCTCTGAGGAAATTACAATAAATCGCTGGGTGCCCTCAAATTGCCAATATTTCACGACCTAATGTACCTTCTCCAGGCATGCAGTCCATTAGTAGTGATGTGTTTGAAACACGGCGTTCTAGGGAAGGTCATTTTAACTTCGCCAGATTCACACTGACTAGTGGAATGATAGATACACGAATATACCAACATTGTTGGGTGAGATAGTAGTAGTATTTCCCCGCCTTTGATAATTGTGAAAAGGTAGACATTCAATAAAGCAATTACTTGTATATGTACATTTTTCTTACTAAAAAAACTGTAAACGCAACATGAGTTGGAATATTTGTGTTAGAAGTTCGAACACTGAAGATTGTGTGGTGAAGTAAGTGCTGAAAGTTTGATGTAAACAAATATGGCCGCATGAGTTGACGTTTGCAACAGGAGAGTATCGCTATTCTTAATCTTATTAAAAACACGACACCTTGACCGGGCTAGTATTGTTTATGTGGCGTGTGTGCTGTATTAAAATCATCTGATACCAACATTGATGTCCAGAACTAGCAGAATCACAGTGTGTGCAATCAAGGAGGTTTTAGATATGTAAGATATCGTCATTTTAACCCCCCCTCGTTGCGATTTACCACACTTCCCGCCAGATATAAACCAAGTGATAGCACATAGTGAATCTAGACCTACCGTGTAATTCTAAGTACATGGTCAACAACATCATACGTCATCTATAACACAGCTTCAGATCATCCCTCTCACCCACCCACCCATCCAAATGAAAGCCATTATTATAAACCTGTACCGACTATACAAGTAATAAAAAATGTTCATAAGGAGCTTTTGAAGTAGATCAATACGATAAACT